GTGGGACAATTTCAGGTAGCCTAATATACATGACATTGAGCAAGTTACTTAACCTCTCAAAGCTTCCGTTTCCCTAAATAAACTAGCAATACAAATAGTGCCTATCTCTTACTTAGGATTGGCATAAAAATGAAATGTAAGGTACTTGGCCTAGCACATAGCAAATGATTAGTAAATGGTAGCTGTTATCCTTATAAACCTTATTTTTTATTTAATAATTCAGTGTGTTCTGGAATTCAGTCTATGAGTTCATGATATTTTCAGCTTTTCATGATATTTTAGCTCCTTTGAATGCAGTAAGTTATATTTCTGATGGCAGAGTTTGAAACATTTAGTCAGTTTCAAAACAAGAAAAAATTGAGACTTTTTTATTTCCATGTGTAAAAAATAGCTTCTGGTGTGATTATTTTCACAGAAAGGTCTGAAAAGGCTGGTATGATTAATTTGGCTTCACAAAAAAGTCTGAAAAAAGTTGAGGTTAACTGAATAGAGCAGTAATAGTTGAGGAACCGTTTTCATTTATGCTCTCACATCCTAGGCTGTCTTCTCGTACTGCACTGTGTCCTGGCCAACCACTCCAGCCCTCTGTTTACTCCACATCTACCCTTGCTTTCTTCTAATTCTTTGTTTAGCCAGCGCAGCCGGAGTGATTGTGATGTTACTCCTCTGACTGAAAAATCATTCTATGGTTTCACTTTGCTTTTAGGATTAGGTCTAAAAACTGTCATGTGGTCTTCATGACCCCATATGATTAAGACCCTGCTAGTTTCTCTGGCTCTGTCTGCATCCACTTTCCTTTTCCATCTCTGTTTTTTCCATTCTGGTCTCATTTCCTCAAAATTTCCATTCTCCCTCTTGCCTCTGGCTGTCCACTCTGTTCTTATTTGATTCTTATTTCAGATCTAAAACTCACTTCTCCCCTCCCCCTTCCACCCACTTTAATTCCTTGCTTAGTTTGTATCCTTTATTCCTGTGGTCCCCAATCCCCGGGCTGTGGACCGGTGCCAGTCCATGGCCTGTTAGGAACCGGGCCACGCAGCAGAAGGTGAGCGCTGGGTGAGCGAGCGAAGCTTCGTCTGTATTTACAGTGGTTCCCGTCACTCACATCACGCCTGAGCTCCGCCTCCTGTCAGATCAGTGGCGGCAGTAGATTCTGCATTGTGGAGAGTTGTATAATTATTTTATTATACATTACGATGTAATAACAATAGAAATAAAGTACACAGTAAATGTGATGCACTTGAATCATCCTGAAACCACCCCCCACCCCCAGTCCGTGAAACATTGTCTTCCATGAAACCGGACCCTGGTGCCACAAAGGGGTTGGGGACCACTGCTTCACTCCCATCTAGAACTCTGTGTTTCTCATTCTCAATTCTCATCATGCTTATAATTGTTCCACCAATATCTCCTCCCAAGATCACACACAGCATAAGATTGAAGATGTGTTTGTTTTGTCACTGTCTCTGATACCTACCAAAGTGCCAACCTCAGGCGTATGGTAAATATTTGTTGAATGAATGAATGTAGGTATTTAGAAAGTTTAAATTGTATCTGCAATTACTTGCGGTAATTGTGTTTCACCTTTTTGTTAATGTCCCCTTTTTCTTATAGCTGTTACATTAAAACAATTTTTCAAAAAATAATGTACTTATTTTAGGACTAAGAGGAAAAAAGCTATCATTTACTGGTACTGTCTGCCAGGCATCATGTTGGTCACTTGAAGTAAATTGTTTCATTTGGTTCTTACTATCAATGTAAAAGTGTAACTCTTATCCCCATTTTACCACGGAGAAGACATTCTGTGGGTAGATAACTTGTCCAAGGTCAAGTGGCTAAACAGTGGCCGATGTGGATTGAGAATGAGGTTTGTCTGCTGTAGAGCCTGTGTTCTTTTGCTGCACTTATACTGCCTTCTCCAATCTAATGTCCACAATAAGTAATTAATGTATACATTACAAGAAATTTCTCATAATTAGCTGTACTGTAATATTTTTACATTTAAGGCTTGGGACTTTTAAATTAATAATTAGGAATGTCTTACTGACTCTGGTGCCCTAACAGTGCTTTGTTCATGTGGCACACAGTACTTCTGTAATTGTTGATAGTAAAGGTGGAATTTGTGCTAGGATAAATTTTGAATCCAGGGAAGAAATTATATCAGTGTCAAAGGAATTAATTTTAAGAGCTATTTTTCTGTAGCATATTAGATTCTGAAAAGTGACCGATTCTCTTCCTCATTTTCAGGGACTATTTTTGCATATGGACAAACTGGAACAGGCAAAACTTTTACCATGGAAGGTGTTCGAGCTGTTCCTGAACTTAGAGGAATAATTCCCAATTCGTTTGCTCACATATTTGGTCATATTGCAAAAGCAGAGGGTGATACGAGGTAAAAGAGAATTCTTTTATTTTCTAACATTGAGAAGTACAAACACAGGAAAGGCATATAGGTATAAATTTTATAAACATTTTGAAACTGTTCTTATAAATGTTTTACTATCTTATGTTTTAAAAATGATATTTTATTTATAGATTTTTGGTTCGAGTGTCTTATTTGGAAATATATAACGAAGAAGTTCGTGACCTTTTGGGCAAGGATCAGACACAGAGGTTAGAGGTAAGGACAATGGAAATTGGAATACTTTCCAAAGCACAGAATGTTTACTGTATTAAGGACCTGCTTGTACAAAAGGTACTTTTAACATTTTAAGTGACCTTGTATATATATTAATATAATTTCATACATGTGCAGTCATATCTAGGGGTGAATAAGTGAAGCA